CCTTGAAGAAGAAGCTAGTGTTGTCCCAACCCTTGAAGACGAAACTATAGTTGCCCCAACCCTTGCCCTAATAAAAGAAGATAGCATTACCCCAACCCTTGAAGAAGAAGCTAGTGTTGCCCCAGACCTTGAAGAAAATGCCACTGTTGGCCAAACCTTTGAGGAAGACATTACCATCTTTCCTCTCGATTCACAAACATCTAACTGGGCTCTGCTGACCACCACAACTGGACCCCAAGAGTCTCTAAATGACCTCGAGTACAGCAGAAAAACCTCTTCAATGACCTCCACAGCAGCTCCAGATTCCTCCTCGAGTACAAAACCCACTGCTGCTGCCACGAAGACGACTACCACCACCACGAAGACCACCACACACTGGTCCAGACGCACCTGGAGCCCAACCACCTCGACACCAAAGGTTTTCCACATGACAGCCGAGCCCAAGAAGGTGACAGCCTTCATACCACCAGTGGATCAAGGTCTTGTGGATGTTGAGTTTAGTCTCACCCAGCCACCCACCCTGCTTATCTTGCCCAATGAGAGGGCAGCTGTAGGCGGTACAGGGAAAGCTTCAGGTAATGTTAAAGCCACTCTCATCAGCCTAACCGTCCTCCTTTTGCTACTCGACGCAATGATGCACTAAAATCCCTGGTCTGTCCTCTGCCCCAACCTGCCTTTGCTCCATTTTCTGTAAAACACCTCCCCTCCTTTTCAAATGACTCCACACGTTTGTTTCACTTTTTTGTCTCAGAGAGACCACTCACCCTTCTGACTCCCCCCGCTTCACCTTAAAACGCTCCTCACTTCTCTCCTTATGACCCCACCTCCCCTTCGAGATACTCACTCTGGGACAGCTCCCATTTTGACATTTGTCAACAGTCCAGTCTTGTTGTGCATGATGTTTTCTTCCTCATCCAAAGATTGACTTCTGTGAAGTACTGTAATATACTGGTATGTTTATGAATGAGTGTTTTCAGTGCTGCTTCTACAGTGATTTTCTGCAAGAGTGATGGTGAAAGCAGTGGTAAACATTTTCTCAGTATCTTGATCGATGGATTTTATGTGCAAATAATACATTTCTGCACCGAACATGTGCAAATTATTCTCTTTATTTTTGCTAACTGTCAAAACTCAGTGTCTTTTGCAGTAAGCTGGAATTAACTTGATAAAGGGACTCGATCTTGAATGTAACCGCAATTACGTTGAATGCAACAGCACTGACCAGCAATAATGTTTTATATTTAATCCATAACAGTCAGGTCAGAAAGTGTTAAAACTGTTCTCTTTCCTCAGATTTTTAGACTTCTATTGCTATTTTAGAGAGTCTAGTACCAGAAGCACAGATGTGTTATTATGTTTATAAGCACAAGTATGGTTCAGTGTTGATTTCTTGTGAGTGATAGTATCTAGCATTATGCTTTTAAATGTCCTTAATAGGTCATTCATGTTTCATACTCAAGTCATGTTCTATTTGATTAATCATGATCTTCCAAGATGTGTACAGTATTGTGTTTTTAGGTGTAAGAATGATAAAATCAACTAATCTATGTTTGTTTCCCGTCTCACCATCAGTTGATAAATCTGTTATTTTGTTTTCTTTCAGTCTGCTTTAGTCTACTGTAAACTAGTGTTCCCCTGGTAGTTAGTTCCTACTACTAAAAACAACAGCTGCAGTGAGTGGTGCACTGTATGGAAGCCTATTCCTGCCAAGAAAACCTTAAAAGTTAGGCATAATAAAAATAAACATTCTCATAGTAATAATTCTCATGTTAATTATTATTTAATAATTTTATTTAGTATCTCATCCTTTTGATTCATCATTAATATTATTCATTTTATTAAATAAAAATTGTGTTTCCTTGCAGAAATTGGCTTCCATTGACATAAATATGCCTATCATTAAAATAAGTGGTTGCCACTATACTACTACTACTAACTGCCTTTCAACACAGTGGGCCATTAAGTCTAATATTCAAATCAGAAAACAATGTAATTATATTTATTTAACAGACTAGAGTGGCTCCATCCATCTTTACAGGTGCATTCAAATGATCTCAAGTGTAGTGCATAACAAAACAGACTTACCTTTACTGACAATTAATGAAAACTGTCTTTCCAACTCCTTGACAGCATATTCAGTCCTTTTGCAATGGCTTCACTCACCACATTTGCAAAGACATTTAGGACATGGTATTGAATTAAGTCTATTAACAAATAGACAACATAAGAGGCAATATTTTTAAAGGAAGTAATAATTTCAGAAAAGCATACACAAATTCCAATCTGTGAAACATTTATTCACTGAGTAAAGCTTTCAGACAGAGACCTTTGTCTGAAAGCTTGCCTCAATAAATGGATATTGCACCGATCAGGGCATCTAGATGTCTTTGCATTATCCATTCTCCATTATTATATTATATATATTGGACTATTTATGATGATAAAAGACTGGAGCCTCAGCAGCTTATGTAGGAAAAGGCAGAGAAAGACAGTGGGAAAGCCAACACTCAGCCAGTAATTCAAATCGGCAGCCTCACATTATCACCTACAGGGAATTTATTGTCGTGTGCTGTTTGGAGAAATCTACATAAACACAAGAAATCTTGCTGACTTCTTGCAGAAAGGGCTTAGAATTCAACAGAAATGCTTGTGGCTATGCAGACTTGAAAAAAAATTGAAAAGATGAGATGCCAACATGGGTGACAGCACATGGTTTAATTTTTTTATACTTACCCCAGTTGTGTATTTTACAACAAAACTGAATGATGGTTTTACTTTCCGCACATATGATTCTCATTTGACTTGAGTAAAGCAGTTATTACCTTCCATACAAACACTCAAAGACAGATCTCTGAACAGAGAAGTATGTGAGTGTGCAGTATAATGACAGAGATCTTGTTTATAGGGTGTTAAAGGAAACAAATAAACTGAATCCACTTGTAAAATGTTTAATTTCAGTTTCGACACATAAGCTTCTACTTTGCCTACTTTTACAAATTTAGAAAATTAAACTAGAACTCCAACCTCTCTTTTTTTCATTACTTTAAACAACCACCTTTTGACAGGGACACATTGCCTGAAGCTGAAGAGATATTTCTCTTGTAATCAACCATACAAGAGTTTGACAACATAAAGTCACAGTAATAAGAGCAAAAATGGTGTAGCATAAAAATGAACAGATTTGATGGGTTATTACATTAACAATTAATTGAGCTGTCTAACTGACTGATTTCTCCCAAAATAACTCCTTTAAACGTCCAGTGTGTAACATTTAGGAGGATCTATTGGCAGAAATGGAGTGTAACATGAATAACTATGTTTTCATTAGTGTATCATCACCTGAAGATAAGAATCGTTGTGTTTTTGTTTTGAATGAGACGTTTTTTATCTACAGACACAGGTCGACTTCCATGGAGGCCTGCCATTGAACCAGCATGTTTCTACAGTAGCAAAGAACAGACAAATCAAACACTGACTCTGAGGGCCGTTTTCGTGTGTTTCACAGCCTACATAGTTTCTCCTTTGTGCTTGGAAAGGGAGGGTGAAGCATGGAAGTTGTAATCTGCAGATACACCTTTAAATAGTTCATAAACTCCGTAAAATAATCTGCAAAAATTTTGTTTAAAAAATCGTCCTGTGAGAGATTTTAAAAGGGAAGGAGGAAGCAATGCGAGCATGAAACAAATGTTATTTGTGTGTTGTTGTAGTCTGTGTGAATTACACGGTGAGACAGTGAGTAGAAATTATGTGAAACACACATCATCAGAGGACTTTTCACCGGAAAGACCGAACAGTATCTTTATAAAATATACACTACTGTGTACTTTTATCTTCCATAAAATGTTTTACATACTGTAATAATATCTAATGACTTCAGCAAACAGACAGTGTCCTTTGGTAGAGAGTAGTTATCAAAAATGATCTCAATAAGGTCTGTTGATTATCATGTGTAACTGTGTCACTGCATTTGGAAATAAGTGTTAATGTTTTGACACTTTAAATCCAACAAACATAATACTTTTCACTGTAATGTCGTTGGGGTGAATCAAACTGAAACTATGTGAATACAATACAGAACCTGGTTATAAGGAGTGACCTATCTCTGTAGGTCTTTTTGAAATAGTATGACCCAGTCACATACTGCATCTGGCATCGAAGTATCATTTGAAACATGTATTATTAATGAAGAGTGTAAGAAGAAGAAGACAGAAAGAAAGAAGGTCTGAGAACAAGGAGTGTCAGAGATTCACCAAAGACGACAGAAGAGGACCTGAAGACTTTGACCTCATGTGACACTCTAAAGTTTGTCCTCTGCTGCCATCTGTTGGCTCACATGCAACCTGACGCTTCAACATGTCCTTTTATCTGAAGATGTCTTGTAATATGCAACTAATATTATTATATTTGCACAGTTGCAACTAGCCTGTCCTCAATCTTTACTTCTCTAATCTTCTGATGCAGCAAATCTATTTTTATCCTGATATTTATACTTTAAATCCAATTAAATGTAATTTTCAATAATAAATAATAAAATACACAGACTATGGCCTGTGCGCTCATGTAGGTTAAGCAGCAGAATAATATGAACTCTGTTTTGTTTCAGATGCTTGCCTGGGCGACCCCTGTCTCAATGGAGGCACATGCACTGACCAAAGTGGGCAGATTAAATGTCTCTGTTTGCCAACATATGGAGGAGACTTCTGTCAGACCGGTGAGCTCTCTCAACTTTTTGCAGTGGAAATTACTTCTGTCAGGTCTGTCAAACACGAAGCTGGTAGCTGTTTCAGTGAAGTAATTAGGGGGAATTCACACAGTTATATCTGCAGCATGAATACCTGTTGAGATATCCAAAGACTCTCCTCCTCTGTGATGTTTTCAGACGTGGAGCAGTGTGAACCGGGTTGGGATAAATTCCACGGTTTTTGCTACCGACACTTCAGCCAGCGTCTGAGCTGGGAGGTCGCAGAGCAGCAGTGCCGTATGCTGGGAGCCCATCTGGTGTCCATCATGACCCCTGAGGAGCAGAATTACATCAACAGTAAGTTCATGGTTTATGTTATTTATTGTCAGAGGTGGGTAGAAAAGTTCAAATACTTCAATGCTTCAGGTATCTGTACTTGAGTAAAGCATGTGTGTACCTTTGCTGCCTCTGTTTATGCTGTTTACTGAATATAATGGCTTATTGTCCTCGCCAGGCAACTACAAAGAATACCAGTGGACCGGCTTGAATGATAAAACCATTGAGGATGATTTCCGCTGGTCTGACGGCAACCCGCTGGTGAGGAATATGAGAAACCAGGGGTGTTACTGAGCTCATACAAAACCAATCTAATCATACATGTGTTTTCAGATCAGAGAAACATCGCTGGAAAAAGGAGACAAACATTTATTATTATATTATTGATCAAATATTGATAACTTTAAAGGGGCACTCAAGGAGTCAGTCTGTGAAAACACTTGTATGATTTCTTCTGGAGACATTTTGTCAAGTCAGTAAAAATAACTAGTGATGTCATACTGATGTCATCTGCTTTGTCAAGACCTTACGGAGTTATAGTTTGTATTATAAAGGATCTCTGAGGCTTGTGTTAGTCTCTTTCAGGAAATATGCCCAATACTAATCAATCAGTACCACTCTTGTGTTTGTATGTTAAAAATGAAGCTATTGCCAGCTGCCTGTTAGCTCAGCCTGACTCTGTCCACAGGTCGTTTTAGTTCCTATACTTTTGGTACAGTTTAAACAAACTAGGTAGTGTTAATGAGTGAGCTTTGAGTGAGGTGCTGGTAGTTGGATTTTGTTACCCTTGGATGCCCAGGCTCCTGGCTCTTGCACATACTAGCTACATACAAGAAAAGTATATTTCCCAAAATGTGGAACTATTTCTTCAAGGACATGCCATAATAATATGAATAATATTAAGTATTTGTGTGGTTTGTCTAATTTTGATACACTCCCTGTCGTTCACACATTCATTTTGAACGATTCTTTCTCATTTTATATAATATGACCTCATAAGAAATGGAAAAATAAGTGGAAAGAACAACATTATTAACATGAAAATAGTTCAAAACAAATTCACCTTTGTGTCTTCTCTCCATTGCATACAGCTGTATGAGAACTGGTACAGAGGGCAGCCAGACAGCTATTTTCTCTCTGGTGAAGACTGTGTGGTGATGGTGTGGCACGATGACGGACGCTGGAGTGACGTACCCTGCAACTATCACCTTGCATACACCTGCAAGAAAGGCACCTGTGAGTTAGAAAAATTAAACTCATTAATGGTTTCAACTCCCTGGTGTGGTTGTTTTGGGCTGTTACATCATACAGTGAACTGTATGAAGCCCCAGTGAGAACCTAACTTATCTGAACTCTTCCAACAGCCTCATGTGGTCCACCGCCCAAAGTCCGAAACACCTCCATATTTGGAAAAGCCCGACAGAGATACGAGACCAACGCAGTGGTGCGTTATCACTGCGCTCAGGGTTTCCAGCAGAGACTAAATCCTCTGATCACGTGTCTGTCTGGAGGCAGGTGGGAGAGGCCCCAGATCCTGTGCATTCCTGGTAAGATAAGTCCATATCGAATCATATTGTAAGTTTAAAACCAACAAAGGATGTATCCTATTAACAAGTGTTGTCTGTGGATCCAAAGTCTTTCCTTTATTAACACAAACGCTGGCACTGACATTTATTTTGACACAGTTCCACATAAATTGTCCTGCTGCTGTCAATACTCAGTAGATTATTTTACACAAATCACACAAGACTGAACCAATACACATTTTAACACTTTAATCTTATATGACATATCATATTTTATATTTCAATGTTTATCATTTCTATTTACTTCTCATTTCACTTTTTTATTCTTCCTGCAATTATTATTTATTGCCCATCAGTCTTGTAGCACTGCCTTCCTTCATTTCACAGTGTATTAATCTGCTGCTAAAACTAGTTCCCAACAAATGAACCGCCATGTTGAACCTAGTGCTAGTTCAGGCAGTCAACTCAAGCTGCAGGGCTATACAGTAAACGCAGGTGACATGCCTCACTCTCCATGAACATAAACCAAACACACCTTCCCAATTTGTCCATCTTTTACATTTTCAGTAGGAACCAAAATTCTTGGGGCTCAGTGCCACAGTCTGAAAGTACTGATAGACAGACCAACACATTTTTGGTTTTGGTCTTGGAGTTTGTTGTCAAATAGAGAATAACTCTTGAATATTGCTTTTGAATGACCTTTCAGAGGCCGGAGGTCCAACCCAACATCCCGAGGCGACGTCACAGACCAGCAGCAGCTTTTCCTCCACTGAAGACGAGTTTGAAGCCACTAAAGAGACACTGCAGTACTGGGACATCAAGTTTTAAAAGTCAGCCACGCTTTCCTTGTCTTCCTTTCTTAAATTCTGCTGTTGTAACGTGACAAGATGACAAAGATCAAATGCTTTTACCAATGAACGCTCAAACAGGACAAAATGAACTACAGACGCATAAAGACACCTGAAGTTTTCCTCTCAGCCTGAGTGCACAGACAGGCTAAGTTTTCTTTTGAGGGAGTTAAATGTTCCTACTTTTTTAATGTCCTTAAGAATATTTTCCACTGTACAGAGTTTCATGTAGTGACTAGCAGATATTAAAGTGAAAGAAATACAGTAAATGTGTGAACTCATGTCAGCTCCAAATCTTCATTCCAGTAAAGACAGTTATTTGTGGTTCTTTATATAAAATGGTGCTAATGTCTTCCAGAACTTTGTATCCAACAGAGGTTTAGTTTTCTGTGTGTAGGAGTAAAGTCCCTACTTTTTCAAAGAATCTTAACAACTCCAAAGCACAAAGTCAATCTTAACAAACAGTCAATATTGTACATATATTAGTTTACACACCTGTGATTGCTGTCCGCATTTTTCTGAGAGAAACCTTTTATTTCCAGCAGACACAGTTTTGTTCGTCAGCTTTATGTTGTAATAAAGTTTTGTAGAACAGAACAAAGAATAAATCGTTCTCTTATTTTACCCGTAGCACTGTGTGTGGTTTAATTTCATGTTCAAGTGGACAGAGACAGACTCACAACAGACAGTTTGGGTAAACATAGGTCAAACCATGTTTGGTCTATGTGTAAACAGAAAAAGTCGTTATACCATTTAATGTGGACTGAAATCCCACAAGAGAGAAAATGTGACAGAAAAAGGAGAATTTTATTAAAATAGAAAGTGTGAGGAAACTCTTTAATTTAGTATTATCTAAAGACCTTTTTCACAGCAGCCACTTTGACATGGAATAGTAGGGTAATTAAGGTTCTGTTTAATTTAGTGTAGCCAACATGAACAACAGCAGCACCCTGATTCTGTTCGACCTGAATTTAAAGGAAGCTTAATTAGTATAATTGGTGACACCTGTGTTTACCCTAGTTCATGTCAAAATGGCTGCTGTGAAAAAGGTCTATTGGATAGATAAACTCGACCCAGGCCTCTTCTCATGCAGCAACACCTGGGAGGCTTTTTTGTTTGCTTGTTTATTTGTTTTTTGTTTTAGCTGTATTTCTGAGGCTGGATCTAGATTTGATAATCTTTATCTCATTAAAAAACAAATAAGATTAAATAAATAAACAGACAGACAGAAAGACAAAGACTATACCGGCAACTTTTAAACTGTGAAAAATAAACTAAACAATAAAATTATTTAACTAAATCTCACAATAATACAGAAAACAACAATCAAGGAGAAAGTGGAGGAGTCATTTAATAAAGATTTTCCAACCACTTTATCAATAAACAGGCTACGACAACAACAACCAATTAAGGTCAGGTGACCAACGTGGTTGTGCCCACGTGCGCCTACACCTACCTGTAACCGACAAAAATGTTGCGTCACGGTTTCGTCACTCCTCTGGAAAATTAAGGAAAACTTGATGGAAAACAAGAGAAACCCAGAATGTGAGTAAGACGTGCTCATGTTTAGTAAATGTGTGTTTGTTGCAGGTTAAATTATGAACTGTACATCCATTAAAATGTTCCGTAAGGACGAGAAGCAGCTGGATGTACATTTACCTGCCGCAGGTGAGTGAACTAGCTGCACCCAGGGCTAAAAGCTTGGGGCTAATGTTGGGAAAATGATTCAAATTATTTATTTAATTCCACAAACAAGCTCAGCATTCAACCGAGGTCTGGCTGTCACTGGATGTAATTGACATCATCAATTAAAACAGGTTTCTACATGATCTGTGTGACAACAGCAGCCACAGTAGTTCTGCCACCAGGTGGCGTCGTTGAGCTGTGGTGGAAATCAACATAATGGCAAAGTGTCAGGGAGCAGTGAAGTGTTTGATATCACAGCTGAGTCCACACTAAATATTTTGATCCCTGCCATATTAACAATAGAGAGGCTGAAACAAACAAAGCTGCTACCAGAATGGTTGCTAACAGTCGCAGAAACACTCATTTCAGAGGGATAAATGTTTGTCACCTCTTTGGATACTTAAGCTTCGACCCTTTACTTCTTATTCTGTTGACGTGCTTTTAAATTAAGTCACATTACAAGTGGCCAACACTTTGCACTACATACGTAACACCACCTCCACTTACTTACTGTACAATAAGCTCTTATTCTCTGTAAGTAAAACACAAACTGTAGCTTTTACCTTTTGCATACACAGTTATTAATAGATACAACATAGGACCTGTTTAAATCATCACAGATCAAAATGTTACCTTTTGTCTACTGTATGCTATGCTAATAATATTTTGCATTCAAACATTTCAATTCCTAACTATAAAAGCATAAATACATTTGATTGAGTGATTGTGGGAAATTGTTATTCAACAGATTAACAACCAACAGCGTTATTAACCCTGAAATGTTTAGTGTAGTGGTGGAAGAAGTATTCCTTAAAAGTAAATGTAGAAATACTCTGTTACAAGTAAAAGTCAAACATTCACAAAATATAAAAGCACTAAAAGTAAATGTGCTTATTGTGCATAATGTCTGAATAATGTATATTATAGTATTGGATTATAATTATTGATGCAGTTTTCATCACTTTAATGGTGCCGTTTAATGACTTTATATACCTCTGTGTAGGTTGTGGATTCCCCCCGGGATCAATAACATCTTATCTTAACCTATAATAATACATTTTAAATTATTTTCAGGTTCTGATGAATAATACAGAATATAATCAGCAAATTAACTAGTAACTAAAGTTATCAAATAAATGTAGTGGAGTAAAAAGTAACAGAAAGCAGAAATACTCAAGTCAAGTCCAGTTATATTCCTTTATTTTTCTTACTTTTTATTCTCGTTGTATAGCATTTTGAATGAATATGTTTATTTGTTACAGTGTTTGAACAGCTGGTTTAGTTTAATATTATAATCACTTAATAAGTTTAGGATGAACATTAGACGGCCAGAACCTTCTGAATAGTGATGGACATTAATAAGAGTTTATTGATACCAATACCATTATCGATTCTACTTATCTGTTTTCTGATTTTCTATCTATTCCCTTATTGATTCCTGATCAGTTTTCTGTGTGGACATAAGCCATACACAATCAATGTCCAAACACAGTGCAGTAATAGTAGTTTGAGTGAAATGAAGCCACACTTTGAACTGTTTCTACCTCGTCGCCATGACTTTTTCCAGCAGCATGCGTGGGTTTGACGTCATTGTTTAGCAATGCACAAAACATGCTGGCATTGATTAAAGGAATTGATCAGCCTGGAGGCATGTGGTTCTGATGGATCGGACAATTTGGAACCAGTTCTCAATTCCCATGCCTACAACCTCTTTATCTTTAATATTTTTTGCAAGTGTCTTTACGCAGAATCCAGAAACATGGATGAGAACTAGTTCATTAAGAGGGACAGACTTTTCCTTCCCATCAACGTGCCATTGAGCAAGGCATTTACCCTGAAACAGATCCACATTAGTGCTGCTCAGTGGACAAAAATACTAGTTTATAATTGCTCCGGGCAACTCCCCTGCTGTGCAGTGCATGTGTGCAACCTTTCTTCCTTTGGTCCAGCTCAATTAAAGAAGACAGATCCACATTATCGGACCTGATCAGAGGGCGACGTTTGAATTCATAAAGCCGGGCAGTGATTCAGAGAGGTGTCTCTGTTGGAGCCGGACTGCCGTTCTCAGGCCTTCAATAGTTCCACGCAGCTTGGCCTGAATGCAGAGGGGTTGCCGTCCGTCCCCTTCGTCATAGAGCCGATAACACGGCTCCAGATGGGAGTGTATTGTGGCCTGTGACCCCGAGGTCACGGGGTCAGAGCAGAGTGAACAGAGGCCAGTCGTTAAGGACTCCTCATGGAGTTCCTCTGTCCTCCAAAGGACGCGTGGCTCGCTAATTGAGGGCCCACCTCCCGAAACCCCAAGTGCGAGGTCCTTGACACCCGAAAATGACCGCTGGTGTGAACTGCAGGGGGAGGAGGGAGGTGTAGGGACTGAAAGGAGTGACTTTGATGTGTTGCTAGAGGGGCACCTAATGGATTTTGTCATTATGGATTATTTTAATAGTTCTTTTTTATATTTGTAGATTATATTTTAGTATAGAAAATGTAAAATAATCATTCAGTAGAGTCTAGGAGTGGAACTATTGATAATTTTTATTATCAGTTAATCTGTCAGAAACTTTTTTTGTCTGTAAAATGTCAATGAATAGTCCAAAATGCCCATTATTGACCACCATTATTCATAGAGCCTGAAGTGACGTCTTTAGATTGCTTATTTTGTTTGAATAACTGTCCAAAACCCAAATATATTCAATGTAAAATGACATAAACTATCTTAAAGAGACTGTAATTTGGCATTTTAGCTTGATATTTGATCTAAATGATTATTTTATTATCAGAATTGTTGCCTATGACTTTTCTGTTGATTGACTAATGGTCAGTGTTGCCCTATTCATTGACAAGTAAAGTTAAAATTACTTTTTTTTTTAAAACACACATTCCACCATTGAAGCCTGCATGAGATGATCTTTTATATTATACTACGAGACAGGTCAAAATGATGTTTTCAAGGCAGTGAAATTCCCTCTTTATTCTAACACATTTGTGTGTTTCAGTCGATGTGAGACGACTCTGCCAGATTTTCAGAGGAAAGAGAAATGATTATTTCTGAGTGAACATATCCGTAATAATTGGTCAACAGTGCAATCACTAGATCCGTTAGTCCGTGCAGTGAAAAGACAAAAGGGTGAGGGGAAGTTTAAAAGACGTGCCAAGTTGGCTGGGAACCTCAGCAGTAAGCGTTACCCACAACCCTTCACCCCACCGACGCTGCTCACTAGGATACAAACAACCTTTGTGGCTTCTCTCTCTCTCTCTCT